TTCCAGATTCATGTTCTTTACATGAACGAGGATAGACAATTGATGGAGAAAGTCAAGCATTTAGAGGGGGAAACACCAATTTGGACGGATGTCAAGGTTCCTGATGATATCAAGAAACGCCCAGATCTAATCTCGAGATTAACCGGTGGAGCATTCAATGAAAATAGCAATTGGAATGTGAATGGATCGCAATGGGCTTACTTTACACAGTGAGTCATAATCTATATCTTGGTTTTGTGAATTGACTAAATCCAATCAGAGAACAAAATGGTGGAGTTGGCATCGCTGAAATTCGGCGTTCAGAAGGGAAAGATTGGTATTTCCAGAGAATTCTCCATGAGAAACAGGGCGAGGCGCTTCAGGGAACCTCTCTAGCCTGCGAGATCTCGAACAAGAACATCAAAGTGGGTCCTCAATTTTTCCCTATATTCATGTCTATTCCTAAATTCACTCACTTACCTTCTGTTCAGGTATTTTTCCAGCATCTTGACGGCAGCATCTGTTTGTATGAGCATAAAGATGGTGACTGGCATGGTAAGCAATGTTCCCGTGCCAATGCGACAATGATTTCTAAGCTAATTGTTCTACAGATCAAGGCGTCTACGTCAAGAAAGAGGAGGTTCAGCCCCCATATCAAAACCCAACACCACTTGCCTGCACCATGACCAAGGACGGATGCATCCATCTATTCTTTGCTGGCTTTGACAAAAACAACAAGCACAAGATCAGACACTATAAGGATGGTAAGAAACAGGACGATGTGACCGACTTCTTCTCAAGTTCGAAGTTGGGCTGCACATCAGACAATAATGAGATCACCTTGTTCTACAGGAAGAAGCAACCTGAGAATGATGTGGGCACGATGGTTTATTCCGATGGGAAATGGAAGCATGGTGCTACTGTTATCCCTGCATGACTCATAGTGGATTAGTGGATGATGAGGAGGATCTTTTTTCATATTGATTTTCAGGACTGCTACTCGGAAAGAACAGTTATTTTTCCTTTCAGAAAGCACCACAACAAATCTACTTACGGCCAAATCCACATTACTTGCAAGTTAGCTCTCCAATAATTAGTGATTAGTTATCTTTCCTTTCAATTCAGTTATTTGCCTGCCCAAATTATGGATTTTCTCAGTGTGACCATGAGATTTTCTCGTCATGGTGCCTTGAGTAACCAAAGTCACAGTAGCTTATGAAAGTAACATTTACCTAAACCTTGCCACATCATAACAATACGAAAGAAACAGTATTCGTGTAAGGCAGGGGCGTCTGTTCGTAGATTTCAGGACACGTTGATAAATGGACCCTGTCTCTTTGTCAAAAAGTTCGATTTGAGATAGCAGACAGGTCAAATCAAGGTGAAGCATACATACTATACATACAGCACTCTCCCCTTACATTCTTCACCTTGAACAAAGAGGCACCTCATTTGATCAAATTTACCAACTCCATGGCCTGTAGACCCGAGCGCCCAACAATCATACCCCCCTATTATTTTATCACAGCGGAAAGTCTTGACAAATGTAAAGAAAAGTCAGAATAATATTGTTTTGGGATTATTGAATAGCTTGTTGAAACCCTTAATAATACAGAATTAGAACCAATAAAATATTACCTGTCTAATGTTCGCCATTGTGTATCATTGAATCAGGTAGACAGACTTAAAGCTGGAATCATGAAAGACCTTGAGGAAACCCAACTATGCGTGCCTCTTCTTTTCGTAGGAATGCTCTCTATCATGAAAAAAAGCAGTCCGAAAGTGACATGTCACTTCCTTCCCTTCACCAAAGCTATAAGTAACCTATAAAAGAACCGAGTAAAAGTTTAGCTCGCTCTCTCGTATTAGCCTTACCCCGCCGTATTGGAAGTAATCCCAACTTGATCTACAGGGTCAATATCTTCTCCTCTCCTTTTCCTTTTTCAATCTATAATTCTTATTATTATAAATTATAGGCCACTTGCCCGTGGACTCCTTCATGGAGTCATTGTTGACGTACAGTCAAACATCGAATGTATAGGAGCCCTGTGATTGAAAATTCCTAGAGATAGATATGTTTACATCGATATATACGTTTGGGTGGGGGCGATGCTCATTCAAGGGTGTCTAGGATGAGAATAACCATCTCCCTGGCTTTTTGGTTAGGCTACTCTATGAAATTTGACTAGGCAATGAGGTGACCTCAAACATCAAATAATTCGAATTTAATCTCATACTGGGCTTCTGACCGTTAGGTATAAATCTGATTCTAATTTCTAGCCGCCAGAATTGTTTGACGTGTCGCTTTTCTCTCGTCGCATTTTCATGACTATTAATATTCCCTCCCAGTTTTCGTTTCTCTAAATCTGACGCCATGGTATTAATTATCCCAAGATGATCTTCGTTAGCTTCAAGATACCGACTTTTTTTGGTTTAAAGCTTATTCAGTTTAGGAAGATATGTCCAATGACAGAAACTGAATGCTCAGGTAAATTGAAAACTAAAAAATCAGATGGCTTGAAGCAGTCAACCAGGTAACGATTTTGAGATGAACCAAAATCTTCAGGGGAAATTAGAGAATTGATTCGAGCTTGAATGCCGGCATCAATTTTGAACAACGAACAAACTCGAATGTTCATCCCATATGCATCCTTTTCACTCTCCACTCAGGGCCTCCAGTAGTTATTGAAAGCGCAGTCTTGAAGATCGAAGATCCTATACTCAATTGAAATGAAGATTTTTTATATGTGGATTACGCTAATAATGTTTGATTGCATATCTGTCGACCACGGAATTTCCATATATCTCTACAAAATACCAATGAAATAAGACAGGCCGACGAAGAAAATCTTTTCGTAAAGAACAGAGAGAGTTCTATATTTTCTGCACAAACTACCAGTTAATACAGGAAAAGATATACATGCTACACCTCAGTAGCATACAACATACTCGGTGTCTGGCCAGGAAAGCAGGTTGAGTTAAGAGTTGCTTGAGCAAAATGCATACACATAGTATAAAATGAACAATCTCTCTGAAGAAATAACAGCATTATTATAAAACATTAATAGCAGCAAAATAAAATATCGATAAAGTATGAAACTATATTCTTATCCAACATATCTTTAACTTCAAATCTAAGTCTCAATATTGATTACTCGAGCTCACAAGAGGTGATCTTCTTGAAGAGATATGAACGAAATCCTCGCTCTTAGAAGGCATGGTATATATTTATTTGATTGAAGACTTTGTAATAGAAAGGGCTGGGGAATTTGCGTTATATATTGCATCAGCGATGATTTTTCAGTCTACAATTTTTGCATTGGAGGGGCTTTTATTGAAGTGAATTTCCAGGCTAGAGGTTCAGATTTGAGATCTTTGATTGCAATTCTTTTCAAGGAGAAATTCCTGTTTATTCCATGGCTGGCTGTTTCAGAAATTTGTTTCAAGCTTGACTAATTTGAGTTCACGGGGAATGGTGTTGCTTTTTCCATCGCACAATATTAATAAACCCATGCCACCTCATATAAATATCCTCTCACGACGATGAAAAGGTGAGTTGTTGATAAGAAGTGCATTGAGGAAATAACAACGATCTCCTTTTTACTCGGCGCTACTCAAACTATGACTGCAACTCCACTTAAGGAATCAAGGAACTGAAAGCAGCACTTATGATAGAGTCGTGGATCAATCATGAAGATATGATCTTGGCCCAGATCTCCTTGCAGCAGAACCCGAGAGCTGGTATATGATGCAACTGGCTACCACCTATATTTACTAACAACCTTTTTATACACCTCTTTTCGTTCTTTTCGAATAGCAGCGAAATCTCATACTCACATCTCTGGATTGATTTATGCTAATTATTGCAAGATCGGCTGAGAACACTGCTTTGATTGACCGGAAAATATCTGCCCCCCGCCCCCCAAACCCCCGGGGAAATATTGGGACTGGGATATAAAAGCTTTTGCTTCGTGGCAAAAATATATATATATATATTCATTAAGAAGTATTCGAACAGATACACGGCAAGCTCTAGAACTTATGAAAGTACAGTTAAGGAGCTTTGAAGAGTCTCATGGGTGGAGGAATGGCACCACAGAGATAGATGCACTTGGAGTGATGTAGATGGAGAATCGACAATGGGATTAGCTCCATTGATGATATTGAATTTATTGACAGTGATTACTTCATCGTTGTTTGTGACAAGAATACAAAAGCATTGTCGGGAACTTTCCTCCATTTGTCTTTGTCAGCTAGGTTCAATAGCATCGGCACAATCACTGAATGTTGTTGCTTTATGTGAAAATGGGGATGCGCTTTCGGAACCCTGACTCAACCTGTGAATACTCGGGCTCTAGTTTTCTTGTCCATTAGAGAGCTGCTACCGGTCTGTAATTCCAAATCTTGGTTGACAAACTCGAGCCCAGCTTTTCTCTAACTAGGTAGCTATAAGAGTCTAAATACTTTGCCCCACGATCAGAACTGCTTAGTTATTCTCAGTATTGGATAACTCCGGGGATTGAATTCTGAAGACAGTGAATTTATTGGTGCTCTGTTCGAGCCTCATAGGCTCAATGCAGAATGCAAGTACGATGGCCACCTCCTAACCATGATATTCGAAATCATTGGGCCTGATACCTCAATGTGATGTTTAATTTACGAAGGGAAACACCGAGTAATAACCGTAGAATCAAAAGCAGAATCGGAATTCGGCCATTGATACCGTAGGATTCAAATTCAAGCAAGTATTATCTCGTCTCATAATTTATATCCGATCTCTTCCCAGCTTCTTCCGTAAAAAGTCCCAAAAACTGCGTACAAAAAATGCGGGAGATTACGGGGCGGAAATCCAGTCGTTTATATTTCACTCAAGTGCGATGTCAAGCATTAAACTCATCCCCTTGGATGATGGTGGTAAGAAAAATATTGCTCGTACTATTGTGGTCCCAATATAGTTTTAGTTAAAGCTATCCCCGCAAGACAAATAAGAGCGTCACAAACATCCGCGGGAAAAAAAAACTCGCCCCCGGTGGGTCTCGAACCCACAACCTTGGGCTTTATATTCACAGAGAGTGTATAAAAGGCCCACGCGCTAACCATTGTGCCACGGAGGCTTTCATAGAACGTATTTGTTCTAATTGATAGGTCCCCTGACAATATTTTACTTTATATTAAGAAGGATTATTTTTAAATGTAAATCAAAGATAATAAATAATAAAGCAGATTAGATTATTAGTTTAATTAGAAAGGCGATAATATAAAACAGAAATATCAATAAAACAATTTCAATTTAATTTAATTTAAAACAAAATATATAATCTCAAAATCTTCAATTAGAATCTATTTCTTTGTGTTGCTCTTTTGTACATGACCCCAGTGTTTGCCAAAAAAAATCGAGGGCTATCCCTCACACCATTCATTTTAGACGAAAGAAAGTTATCAACAGCAGAATGCTATGATCCCGACTTAAACGCTTTTTCAATGGTAATCAATTTAATAGCAATTTCGGACTTCCATGCCTGCTCGGCAAGCAGCATTTCATTCATGGGCAATAATTTTGCTTGCTATCAGGTCAACTGGGTGGAGTGTTGGCCTGCTACGCATACTTCTGTTTCCTCAGTTTCGCCCCTGTTACCTATATGTAGTGCCCAATTCAATAATATGACTCTTTCGTATGTAAACTTTTCAAAGAAACTTTCCCATCATTAATACTGTGCGAATTATTCTTGACTCCACTCAAATGGCCGGTCCACTTAGACCCACATAGGAAACTCCATAACCCCAACATACGCTCATTCCTACGAGGAAGCCTCCTGAGTAGTAGAAAAAATGAGAAATTTAGAGAAGATTTTTGTCAAAGTATCCGTTTATCTCTTTGCATGAACCCTGAATACCTGCCACCAGCGAGTATACACTAGTAAAACTGCTGTGCAATTTTGCGATCCTGCATAAGACCCCGCAACGCATTGACATCTGGCTGGCAACCTGTTGTGTATTGTGAGGTGATAAAGCTTATCGCTACCACCTTGGTAACAAAGAAGTGTCCAGATGCTATATCAAGGCTAAAGAGGAAGCTCGGTACTGTGCTTCCAAAGTCGACTCAAAGTGTGGTGTGTTTGTAATCCCCAGAAGCTTGTAGGAAGAGGATGGAGACAAATCTTTTTGTTCTAAAATCAAAGTCACACAGCTTAGCAAATCAGGGAGTGTCGATGGGGGTAGAATTGCGATCAAAGGATATGATATTGATACAGATTGTTTGATAATTTAGTACGTACTGGAAGATATCGATGTATGAGAGGAGAGCAATAAACCCGAAGTTTTTATTAGGTTGTGGCTGGAGAATTAAGTGGCTTGACTCACCACTTTTGGCTCATAGACTTGATAAGCGGTCAGATTGCTAATCGTTATTCGCTGTCATTACGCCCTAATGGCCTTGGCTTTGTGGGACGACATGTAGATATTTATATAAGGAGTACTTTATATAAGGAGTACTGGAGAATTTTGGTAACCTCAATTTTTGTATACACCTCTCATTTCTGGTCTACTTTACTCACTCACATTATACATCATCTGATGGACGAGACCCAGCCACTCCTTTCACCGGTACCGCCGCCTACAACCGCAGCCGGGCAATATCCATATATTCCCGATGTGAACATTCCAAATGATGATTCTTTCGACCATAGAATTGATTTCAACCCCAATGGAGACCCGGAAAATCCATTAGAATGGCCAAAAGCTTATCACAATGGAGTGACTTTGCTTTTAGCATTCATGGCATTCACAGTGTATGCATTTCATCTCAACCCCCACGTTCAACCAAAAATTCAATCTCTGACTCTTTCATCAGAACATTCACCTGCATTGGTGTAGTTCCCATCGCCAGACAAATCATCCTTGATCTCGAGAACCAAGAATCCAAATCCGCATCCGTTCTTCTTGTTACCATTTGGGAACTCGGAGAAGCAGCCGGTCCTTTACTCATTGCCCCACTTTCCGAAGTCTATGGTCGAGCGGCCGTTTTTAATGTTGCGAATGTTCTTTTTATCATTTGGACAGTCGTTGCAGCGAGTAGTCAAACATCTCATTTGTTTATTTTGTCGAGATTCATGACTGGTTGCGCTGTTGCGTCTAATGTCCTCAATCCGGCCGTCATCGGTGATATGTTACCACCTGATCAAAGAGGTTCAGCAATGGCAACACTCATGCTTGCACCACTTTTAGGTGGTGCTATTGGACCTGCTATCACTGGAGCAATTGCTCAATCGATTGGATGGAGAAATGTTCTCTGGTTTGCGGCGGGTATGGCTGGAGTTTGTGAGCTTGCTTTTGTTTTCCTACTCCGGGAGACGTACAAGACTCGTATCTTACAGCGAAGAATTGCAAGGTTACAAAAGGATAATGATGAACTTGCATTTAAAGCTGTAGTAGAGGAAGAGTGTGAACATACGGCGATTGCGATATGGAAGGCTATCAAAAGGCCCGCAGCTGTATTTGGAGGATCTTTCGTGCTGCAAATTTTGTCGTTTTATGGTGCCATTATGTTTACATTCTATTACATTATGTCGACAACCTTACCAGAGGTCCTAAAGAATGTCTATGGGTTTCCTCCGGCGACAATTGGTTCTTCTTTCTTCGCTTTTAGTATGTATTTGACCAAATTACTTCTAATCCACATATCTGACTAACACAAATAGGTGTCGGATCAGCTATTGCCGTCTTTGTTTGTAATATGCTTATAGACCGAATCTATATCCATCTCCGAACTAAAAACAACAATCGATCAAATCCAGAGTACCGAATGCCTCTCACTGTAATCAGTGCTTTTATCCTTCCAATCTCCATCGTTCTTTTTGGATGGACCGCCGCGAATGGATGGCCAGTTGCATTACTTCTTTTTTTAGTTGGCCTCCAAGGTTTTGCTATTCTAACGGGCATAGTTCCGCTTATGGCTTATGTGGTAGATGCTTTTGGGCTCTATTCGGCAAGTGCTTTGACGGCCGTACTCATTACAAGGTGTTTGACGAGTACGTTTTTACCATTGGTTGTTGGACCATTGACTGATGAGCTTGGATATGGGTGGGGATTTATGATCATTTCGGGCGTATGTCTGGTGGTGGCACCTGTGCCATTATTGGTTATGAGATATGGAGAGAAGTGGAGACAGTTGTCTACATATACGAGGGATGAATGAATCATGAATTATGGTTGATGACGAATTTATGAAGGACGGAATTTTATATTGGACCACGGAGGCACATTAGATTAGAAGGGAATTGTTCATATTATTGCGAGAATATATACCATTATTTCATGAAATGATGCACATATCAGGTTTCCTCGTTTATCTACGCTCAGTTTCTTTGAGTCAGCCTTACTCTCGAAATATGAAAAGCTGGAGTAAGTGCTTTGGGTGATGTAACCGTCTAATTCACCTACTTTATCTAAGAATATACTTACCACCGTCAACCGGCAATAGGTAATGACATGGCCCATGACCCCGCTGCAAAGCCTTCGATATTTTCAACATGTTTGATACATACTCTGAAGACTCACTAAGAATCTTCATAACGGGATGAAGAAACAGATCATCCACCATCATTTCGGAAGCCATCCACAAAGCAACCATACGACCGAAAATGCCAGCACCTAAGACGACGCAAAGAATGATTAAGACGATTGAAATGGTACTCGTTGTTTCAGACGCAAATGCAGTATTCCCGGTTGCAAAAAAACCAACAATGCAAGATTTTGAAATAACATGGGGAGTTGGGTAGTTGGTACGAATTGCTTCGAATGGAACGATGTCATGGATTAATACGTGAGGTACTCGTACTATCCATGTCATGGATCCATCGAGGTCAAGTTCACTTATCTCTTAATATCATATCCAGTCTCAAGATTTTTAAAAAAGTGCTAATGGTCTCCAAATAACTGGCTCATGATTCAACATCCTTTTATATTATTCAATGAATAACAGCTCCGATTCCACCCACGGATACGAAAACCAAGCACTACCTACCTACCCGCCTACCTCAAGCCCTCGCAACGGCAGTAAAGGATAGACAACCCTTCGAATTCAGCACTACACGTCATTTATTTCTCAACGAGATCTACGCGCGAGAAATATCATATAAGCGTGGGAATCATGGAACTCGAATAGGATGTGCTATATATATTTACATCGGTGTTAATCATAAGCACCCGTAGGTCTCCCTGTATAATGATGCGGTATATATACCCAGATTATCATTTGCTGATATTCTAGCAAATAAGAAGTGAAATTGTACGGATTGGGATTATTGGATAGATAGGTAGGGTGGTAATCGAGGATTTTGAATAATCTATCGATCTAATATTTTTGGACTGGGGCACTGGGTTATTACCCAGCCCAATTCTGGAAACAGGTAGATCCAAAATTGTTGGAGGGGTGCATGCTCGTGCCCAATATTAACTTACTCTTACATGGGAAATTTAATCGCTCCTCGCGTGGGTAGATATAGTTTGCAATATTTTAATATATAGTCAATCATTGGCTACCATTTCTTTGTAAGGAAAGAAACATTCATATTGGTCACGAACTTTATTCACCATAACGCATCCTACACACTTAAAATCTTACCTTTCAATATCTAATTCTAACCCTCGTACTTGAATATACGTCCCGCGCGCTAGCACTAATAATCGGAATCTCGGATTAATCCACCACCAAATCACATCTAAATATATATCCAATCAATCAATCCATAATTGTATCCCCAAAATCCTTTTTTATATACGGATATATAGGTAATCACAGAGAAATCATCGTAATCCGAACAAGGAATCTTGCGCGGGGTCTACCTGCTTGGAAATTGTGGATACTTTATCTTCTAGGATTTAGGATGTAAGATTTATGGGTAGATGGGTGGAGATTAGTGGGGCGGCGATGGGGAGTGGAGATGTGCTTCTTTCTGATCATGAATTACTGGTAAATGGGATGGGTATTGGAGTTGGAATTGAATTGCGCTGCGTGATGTGAGAAAGGCGGAGGTGGAGGACGGAGATTTCCTGATGATTAGATGGATATGTATGAGGAGTGTGTATTGGGAAATTGGGATTTTAGGATGGAGTG